TGATCCGTGTCGATCAAAATAAACAATTCTATTGGCTTTAGGTCACGTGATGGACACGGCTTTAGACGACCCCTAAACTTGGAAATGATCTACATGCTGCAGAAATTATCTTGGCTTTAATGTTCCTAATTTGGGATTTTCTCTTCCGTGCAGCATGAATCCGATAAAGTATATTTATATAATCTATCTATGTGACACGATTTTTTACAGTGTTTTTACATAGTGAAAATTAAAAATCACGTGTATTGCACAATTTTTTACATTACATGTATATTTTATAAGATACCTTAATTTGTGATGTTTAACATCTTTTCTTTTTATTACTTAAATAATTAACTTCTTTATTTCATTTATAAATTTGGTATTTATACATAAGATAGTATAATTTTATTAATTGTATGAAATTCTAAAATAATATCAATAAAGAGCGTAAAACTTGTTATCAGAATCTTTTTAAATAAAGTTCTTGTATTTTATAATCTATTATAATCTGGGTGAATAGTTTTATTCATCTACAACGCAAGTTAATTTATTTCGAAGCTAACGAAAGAATTGTATAAGTAAAATGTCACTGTCATGTTATCGTCAAAAAAAATTTTAATATTAAAGATTGAGAGTTATAATAAAAGTACTCAAGAAATTTTTTTTTGTTCATCATAAAAGACGGTTACTTGTGATCATGTTACGTTGCACCAGCTTTTCTTGAATGTGTGCCAGGTTTGTGGCGCAGCAAAAAATTCTTCAAAGTTCGTTTATGTTAGGGTTAGGGTTTAGGAAGAGGTGTTTATTTAGTAAAATTGTCTAACGAAACTTTTTATTAAAGCACTAAAGGTGATTTCCTATGCAGATTTTCAAGAAATAGGCGATTTCTGACGAAACAAACGTTTGTTTTGAATCTTCTTGATCGTGTTACGTTACACCTGATCTTGAAATCTGATTCGTAGTTCAGCACCAAATTGCACGATACAATAGCAGTTTAAAACAATGTATATCGTGCAGATCATGCATGGGAGTTCGCGTCGTGTTTGTTGTTATTTCCTTTTTTGTTTTTGTATCACCAATGCATATAACTTCACCTTTCACATATATAAGAGTTTTTCACTCTTTTCTTATCATCATTTGCTTTTATCGTTGTTTACTTTTAAGCTATCTAACTCAACACCTTTATTGTATTGTTTACTCAAGATGATTCAATCGAACGACGAATATTTTACAAGATCTACGACACCCACACCAAATCCAATTAATTACTTCTACAGCAAGATTAGAAAAAATATCTTTACCTTTGAAAAACGGCCAGAGTGTCAAGATTATATCGATACACTCGTAAGATGTATTGATGGCCACCCGGAAAATGAGGAGATGCTAAAATTGTCTAAAGTACTCTGGGATAATGTAAGTTTTTTTTTTACAATCACGTTTTCGTTGTTGCATATGTGAGCGTACAAGAAATTTGCAAATAGAAGCATTTATTAAGATCTACCAGTTTTATATGAGGAATTGGTTATGCTTCTTTCCGATAATGTTTCATTAATAGTATTATGATAAACGGCCATTGCTGTAATTATAATACCCATCACCATAGTGACAAGTAGTTAAAGTAATGAAAACCCATCGCAATAGTGGCCAAGTAATTAAAGTAATGAACGCCCATTACCGGGATAGCCAAGTAATTACAATGACATTTAGTGATCAACTATTACTCGTTAAAGCATTTATAGATCTACCATTTTCGAAAAAGAAATTGGTTATTTGTCTTGCTTGATAATGCTTTATTGGGAGTCTATTTTAGACATATAGATATTATAATGAAGGTTTATTACCGTAGTGGTCAAGTAATTATAATTATAATGAAAACCCTGCAAATGGCCAAGTAATTATATTAATGAAAACCCATTGTGGGCCAAGTAATTATAATTATGATGAAAGTTCGTTACTGTAGTAGCCAAGTAATTATAAGTAATGAACCCCGCTACTATAATGGTTAAGTATTTATAATAACAAATAATCTACTATTACATTATCGTAGTGCCAAGTAATTATTATAATGAAATACAAGTAATTATAATATCTATTATAGTAGTGATCACGTTATTATAATGAAAATCTATTACCGGGATGGCCAAGTAATTATAATAATGAAAGCCCATTATCGTGGTGGCCAAGTAATTATAATGATGAAAACTCACTATAGCATGGACAAGAAATTATAACGATAATAAAATTATTACTATTAGTTTAATTTACAAAAATCAAGGAATAATTATTATATATTATACAAAATACGAAAATTCTAATGTAATTTTCCTTATTTCTAATTTTTTGTTATTTTCTTTTTTACATATAGAGAGCCTACAAGGCTGAATTATCGACTTGGTGGATGTATAACATGGAAATCCATCGTGTTGTTGCAAATTATTCGGACAATTATGACGGGATACGGCTTCAAGTTCAAGTGATTTAATTGGAGTCAGGTTGAATCTGACAGACCCCACTAGATCAGATTTGACTGACTCTATCGATGTAAGAGCTGATGAGGATAGGGCTTCAAACTTAGTTGGAGTAAGGTCGGATTTAACTTATCTTAGTTCGGATTCGTCTCACTCCAACAACGCAAATGATACGGCGGTAATAGAGAGTGGGTTGAATTTAGTAGAAGTAGATGATCGTAGTCAAAATGAAGCAAGAGGAGAGGATGAAGCAAGAGAAGAGAATGTAGCAAGGGAAGAGAATGAAGCAAGAGAAGATGATGAAGCAAGGGAAGAGGTTGCAGAGAATAATGACGAGGTTGCAGAGAATAATGACGAGGTTGCAGAAAATAATGACGAGGTTGCAGAAAATAATGACGAGGTTGCAGAGAATAATGGCGAGGTTGTAGAAAATGATAACAGAGCAACAACAGACGAACCAGGGAGATCAATTTTTGTAACAGATTTCCTTGAGCAAGAGATCGATGAATTTAATCAAGGAATTACGAATAGATTTTCTAGGACTATTAATGATATATTCCATCGAGCAAGGAATGGTGAAGAATTTAAATACAGCAAGTAAGCTTATAAATACATTTATTACTAAATAAAGATTCACCTCATTACTTTAATTGTTCTTAATTGCCGGTAAAATGATTGTGATTCGTCGATTACGATTAAAATATGGGGGTGAGTTAATAGGAATCAAACAAGTTTTTTATAATCAAAATTTTTTTTAAAATTTTGAACACAAATAACTTAACAAAATTTAACCGAATTTGATATATTTTGTTTTTTAAAAATTTTTATTAAATTTGATAAGTTTTTTGTTAAGTTATTTCGGTTTAGAAGTTTTAAAAAAATTGATTAAAAATTTTTTGCTTGATTTCTATTGGCTCACCCCCATATAACTAAATTTTTTTGCATCTTCCAAAGACTTTATGCTCGTAGAATATTTTACTTGACCAAAGATGAGTTCCCATGGATAACAGACGATGACATAAAGAGGGAGCGAAAACTAGGAATACCAGCGTGCAAAAATTTTCCTAGAGAAATAAAATTTTGGATTGCAGAGTTATGTAATAAGGTAATGACGAACATTTATTTAGAAACATAATTAAAAATGAATGCAATTGCGCATTTAATGCCGGGGATGATGCTGAGAATGTATGATGTTGAGAATTTAAATTAGAGTTAAGAGTTTATAAAAAGAGTATATGTGGAGTTTATATTCTTGAATGAGGCACCAACTTCTTAGCATTATCCCCGACATTCAATAATTTAATATATGTTTGTTTCAGCCGGCATTTAAGTCCTGGGAAGAATTTGAGAATTGGTTGATATTTTCTTATTATCAAGAAGCGGAAAAGTTTGTAAACAGAGGAGATTCAAACCTAATGTGGTTCATCAAGGCAATATTTCATTGTCTCTACCATTTGTAAGTAATTACAATTTATAAAAATAAAAAAATTGGGGTAATAGTTAATTAAACTAAAAATGCTTATATATTTACCGTTTAGTATATCACTTTTTTCGAAAACCTACTTCGACTTACAACTTGAAGGTGATATTGGTTCGACGTATGTCCATCCTTTGCTCAATATCCTAAGAGATTGGGCTTCGATAAATATGTAAGTTGGTTATATTTAATAACACATTAAGGGCTGGCAAATATGTATACATTATTCGACAAATTGATGAATAAGTGTACATTATTGGGCAGACGACAAAAAATAACGGCAAATTGTTTTTTTTGTCGGAATTAATGTCACACCATGTGCTGCTACGCAGCACATGAGTGAAATTAACTCCGATGAAAAAAAACAATTTGCCGTTATTTGTCGTACGTATGCCCAATAATGATGTTATCCGATAGTTAATATGACCATGTGAAGTTTTCTCCGTGATATTTTGCAAAACTGGCTACGTAATTTCATGCAAAAAATATCATGGCAAAAAAATTCACATGATCATATGAAATGTCGGATAATGTATATTTATACCCATTTGGATTATAACAATCTATCTAATGTCATTCATTTGACATAAATACGTCAAAATCCGAAGGAGGGTATAATGGTCAGCCTCTTACTTTATTATCACCATATAGTGTTATATTAATGATTAAATTTATATGCTAGTGGTGAACGTCTAAGTAAAGCAGTTTTATATAGATGTAAATTAGGGGCTGACCGTCATGGGAAGGCAATGCGCTCAAAAATGGACGCGGGTGGGACAATTGACGGTTGGGAAATGATCTCATTCGAAAATTCCAACAAATCAGCCAACACTCGAAAAAAATACGACGGCGATTTATCAAAATTAGCCACCTACGATCGGGATGAACTTTACGTGTTTTGGAAGAATGTATTCGATGAGGTGCCTTACCAATTCGAACAAATTCAACCAAAACTTGAAAACATAAGAAGTTGGGGACTGATCTCATATGGTGATCGAGATGCTCACAAAGGTTTGCATCTCGATCTATATTCGATGAGGCAGTCGGATAAGGGTATATTCATTTGGGTGCCAGTTGAAAAAGCTGAGCTCCCAAAACCGGATATGCCCAAGACCTATGGAAATTTTTCGTCAATTATTAACTTAATGCTGATTCTCTCGGTAAGTATAGTGATTTTTTTTTTTTTTTTTATGCGTATGTGTGTGTGTTTCATCTAACTTATTGTTTTGAAACTTAAAACTATTTAACTTAATAGGCGATTCTCCAGTCACCTGGTTCAAAATTTTTTTTTTTATATATAAATTTTACTATAAGTGCGAAAGTGCAGCGCCCCTATCTAAAACTTTTTTTTTTATTAAGTAAATCATTCTTGGGTATAACAAAAGTTGTAGAGCTCATCAAGATGCATCTAATAGTGAAAGAACACTGAAATTGGTCTGGTGGTTCTTGAGAAATCTTTAAAAAACTTCTTTTTCACATATAAAATTTCTTTAAAAA